AATGATACTGCCGTGCTGACTGTCATTAGCTATCCCTTTAGTCGCAGGTTGGTGCTGGGCCACTCTCACGTTGAGTTGCCTGTGCCCAAAAACACACGCGGTGAAGTGCCCAGGCTTTCAGAGACTCTCACTCAGCTGCTGTCCAGTCTCACTCTGTTTTCAGCCTCCTATCTGTCACTTTGCTTTTGAACAAGAAGTTGGATCGTAGCCAGGCGGTGGTGGCACACGCCTTTAATCCCAGCACTCGGGAGGCAGAGGCAGGTGAGTCTCTGTGAGTTAGAGGCCAGCCTGATCTGCAGAGTGAGTTCCAGGACAGCTAGAGCTAAACACGGTGAAACCCTGTCCCCCAAAAACCAAGAAAAAAAGCAGAAAGAAAAATAAAGTTGGATTTTTCTTTCACAAAACAAGAAGTTTAAAGATAGATATTTGCTGAACCTTGATGGTTCATGTGAAATGAACCATTGGATCAGACTCTGGTTTTTCTTTTATTTCTTCATGTTGTTGTTTTGTCTTATGTAACCCAGGCTGGCCTTGAACTCACTATGTAACCTTGAACTTCTGGTCATCTTGCCCCCCACGCCTAGATTATGAGGTGAGAAGCCTGTGATTACATATATGGTTTCTGCAACACTGGGGATTGAACCCCGGGCTCCATGCATGCAAGGCAAGCACTCTACCAACTGAGCCACATCTACCTTCAGGTCAGAGTCTTTGAGACAATCTTGTGCTTCTGATCTAGGTTCTAAGATAGAGCTGCCCTCCCGACAGCCCTCCTTCTTTAAGGGCAGGCAGGGCGGGGAAGGGCTCCTTTCCCACTGTATGAATAAGACACACTCTGCTTTGAGTCAGCTGGACACCCCACTGCTTCTCCCTGGTTGCCGCTGACAGTCAGACTTTGTCACAGGTATCCGTATCCCTTCGTATAGCCAAGTAAAATTCTGCACACGACCACAAATGTTTAGTGACTACTACACCCTGGAACACCAGTGTTCATTTTGTAGTAGCATCTCCTATTGTCTTGAAAGTAAGGAGAAATATATGACTCAGCCTAAAACCAAAACAAATAGAACAGAGAGAAGAGAGAAGCAGGCAGGCTGTAAGGTGGGTTTTTACATCTTTGCATAGGCTGGCCCCTGGCCCCTGCTCTGATGTCAGCTTTTAATCTTTCTTGTAGTTCAATGCCATCTTGTCACACTAGACTGATTCCTGCCCATACTTGCTTGCTTCTGAGATATAGTTTTCTATCTGACATTACGGTGACCTGGAACGTGCTTCCTGAACTGTGAGTTGATTGACACCCCAACATTCATGCTCAACTCAAATATCACTTCCTCTTGGAAGCCCTCTGGGACTATGACGCGCACATCTGCCCACCTCCAACTAACTCATTCTTTTGTCTCATCACTTCGAACTTGCTTTTTCAGAGAACTTTTTTCCAATCCAAAACTGTCTTGCTTTTTTTTCCTCCTTTGGCTCTGCACGTCCTGCTGGTCTGGGCCTGACAGCCTGAGGAACAATGTCTGTCTTTGTGCATTTAGCTGAGTTCCTGAAGAGGCAGTACGTGTGAGAGACAGGGAAGGGGCAGATAGCACTAGAGAGGTGCCTGGAGGGGCTGGTTCAGGACTAGTTCAGTCAGCAAAGCTCCTGCCACACAAGCAGGAGGACCCAAGTTCAGATCTTTAGCATCTGAGTAAAATCTGGGTGTAACCGTGCTTGCCTACAGCACTAGCGTTGAGGGGAAGGAGGGAAGTGAGGGGCAGATCCCTGGAGCCTGCTGGGCAGCCAGTCCACCCAATCAATGAGCTCCTCAAAAATAAGGTGAAATACCCCTGATGCTGACTTTTAGCCTGACACACTCACATATGCCTGCCATGAACATATGTATGCACAAAGACACACACACACAAAGACACAGACACACATGCACACGCACACATCATGCCTTGATTCCAGGGAAGAAGACATCTTATCGAGGAGAAGAACTTACTCATGAAAACCCTTCAAATCCACAAGCCGTAACCATGTGGCAGAGGCCACAGGCTGACCCCACTTCTATGCAGGTGCTGGGGGGGCGTGCACAATGGACTCTACTTTGCAGTCGTGGGTGGAATGCTCCTATTATGTCAGGTCTTCCTGCAGTCACCTGAGCTGTTCTTGGCAGCTGTTTGATGCATTCAAGACTGTGGACAGAATGACAAAGCCATTTATATGTCAAGAAAAAAAATCACCCAGTGATCTTCTGTGTATTGTCTTCTGAGAGAATCCATAGTTCTCAACACCTGCCAAACAAGAGCCACTGCCAAAAAGATGTAGACATGAAAGGTTTGAAAGAAATCATGGGAAAAAATGAAACAGCTTCCTGATTGCCAGCACCGCGCATGCCTGCTTCGAGCACTCCACACTTTTCTTCCAAGAAAACAGTGCAGGGACCTAACAAAGCTGCTGGGACTCAGAGCAACACAGATAAAATGGCCAGCAGTGTTATCTCCAGGATGATGACCCACAGGACGTGGCCTTGCCAACCATGGAGCCTTGAAGCGCTGCTCATAAGCCAAGAGAGGTCCTGATAGTGTTGCCACCCAAGCAACTGCCCCTTCGTGCATCCCTTTGCCTTAAGAATATGTCCTCTGTGTCCCTGCCAACCTTCCAGGAGCAATGAAACATGCCCCCATGTGGGAGCAAATGCGGAGATTACTAGTCATCTCAGTAAGCTTGCAGCCAATGGCTTGGAGACCAGGAAGGGATTCATGCTTATGCCTTCCTGTTTTAAAGTGATCGGCGGCTGGTGAGGGGCCATGTGTCCACATGTGACAAACCTGTGAAGATAGAGCCAAGCAAGATAGGATTACGTGCTTTGACTTTCTTTGCCTGTGTCAATCAGCTCTCATCCAGCCGTGTGTTACAATGACAGAATGCTCCAAAGCCATAATTTGGAGAAATAAAAATGGAGATCACACATGAAAGGTGGGTTTACATCAAAGGGGAAATCTCAGAAGAAAATTAAAACCAAATCCCAAGCCTCTGACACTTCCAGTATAGAAATCTCCAAGGCAAGTGTAAGAAGATCTATGAGGCGATACACTAAAGAGACGGAGGCAGGGGAATTACCAGTTCCGTGGAAGCCTGAGCTAATGAGTGAGACTTAAAGAACAAATAAAACAAAGCAAATGAAAAGATGATGTAGAGGAGACATTGTTTCTTTTTCTCAAAACAAAACACCTCACGGAGAGGAATGTGAAACAAGAGGGCAAAGTCTCTCAAACGCACTGGAGGGAGATTTCATTTTGGAAGGGTGGCGAATGCTGTTCCCAGAAGAGGACGGAGATGGCTGGGGAAACGGAAGGTCAGAACAGACTTCTCCCACACATCAGGAAACACTCAAGGTCACGTGGATCTGAACTTAACTGCCTAAAAAGCTTCCCGAGATGGAACAGTAATTCTCATTCCAAGGTCTCCACAAGAGATTTTTTTTTTAGCAGAGAAGGGAACAGGGCAAAATGTTTATTGTCCCAGATTCTTCTGGTGATCTGATGATGTAAGGGGAGTCTTTTGTGTGCTTTTTATTTCTCTTAGAGGAGAAAAAGAGAGCAAAACCCATTCTCCCCTCCGTTGCTAGCATAGAGGAGGGTGACGTAGGAGATGAGGTAACAGGAATGGAGGCGGCTGTGTGTTTTGTCACCTGTTCTCGAGTCCCATTTCCTTCTCAATAAGAACCCCAGTCAGGTTGTGTTTTGATGCCTGCCACCCGATACTCGTCAGGCGACAAGACTGCTAGACCAATATGTTCATCCAGAAGAATGTTCCAGAATGGTGGTGATATCCCACACATGCTGGAGTCAAGCTCAGTGCTTTACATACTGTTACCGTGTCCACAGCCACCAGTCCACTCGCGTTATTTCTTGTGGCAAAGTCAATATGAGAATTAATAATAGCTTTCTGATCTACAAATAAAAGCACGCCACTTTAAATTTTTGGCAGTGAGCTGGCATTTTGTCATTTAATCATTTCAGATCATTACACTGCAATACAGAATGTAATGACATGACACTCGTAAATGACAAACACTTGGTCTCTCCTGCTTGGGAAGGAATAATGTAATAGGAAGCAAATTATATCCTTAAAGGTTGCCCGCATTTCACTCCCACCATTAGGCTGGAGACACTGAGCAGATACAAGGTGAACAAAAGGAGACTGTCCCCTACAGATGTCCTGGGTAAGACACAGACGGCAGGCTTGTCTCCATCCACAAGGGGACAGAACTTCCCCAGTGCTGTGAAATGTCCTTTCCTATCCAGAGCCCCACAGGAAACAGCTGTGTGTAGGAGCCCTTCTTGCTTTGAAAGCCTAACACCCTGAGAGAGAGGCGAGGAGAGGGAGGAGGGACCTGCTGACTTGAAAGTGTCTCTACAGTTCCTTTTACAAACAATTCTGCCCGCCCCCCCCCCATACGGGAAGATGGCACAGTCAGTAGGACGCTTGCTGTTCAAATATGTGGCTCGGGGTTGGGTACCTAGCACACATGCGAAAGTCATGGGCTTGTAATCACAGCCCTGGAGAGTCAGAGACTGGCTGAATGCTAGGGCTCTCTGTCCCGTCAGCCTGGCCAAAGCATCCAGTTAGAGACCTTGTCTCAAAAAGCAAAGTGGATGGCCTCTACACACACACACACACACACACACACACACACACACAGAGACAGAGAGAGAGAGAAACAGAGAGAGAAACAGAGAGAGACAGAGAGAGAGAGAGAGAGAAACAGAGAGAGAGACAGAGAGAGAGAGAACGGGGAGGGGTGTTCTGCTCCTGCTTTTCCATTGCTCAGATTTCACTGGGATGCCAACAGAAGAAGGAACTGTTTTGTGGTGACCTCCCCTACTCGGTGACTTGATTTGAAGACTCCTCCCTCAAGGCTGCAGTCCAAGCCTCCTGTGTCTGAATTCTCTTCAGCATGACTGGAATTCCTCATGCTTATTACAAAACTCACATGGCTAGTGCGAACCCATTTATCTCCTCATAGTCATTCTGTGGACCTAGGGAACCACCAGCCTTCCAGCTATATGCTAGAAGCCTCGGGGGATGGTCTGATTCTTTCCCCTTCGCCTCCCCCAGTACTTTTGGGGAGACAGGTGCTGGCATACTGACCATTGACTGGGCAAAGGCTTTTAACCTACCAGAAGTAATGGCCACCCAGCCACCCCACACTTCTGAGCTTCTGTGATGCCTCATCTTGCTGCTTTTCAGCTTGAGAGGACGTAGGATCACCATGGAAACAGACCTCCAGGCCTGTCTATGAGGGGTTGTCATCGAGACTGGGCTCACTGAGGTGAGAAGACTCATCCTAGATGTGGTATGATCAAACAGCTGGGTCCTGGATTTAATAAAGAGGGGGCTACGTTCTGGAACGCCGTTCCTCTCTGCTTCCTGTTCCCGCTGCTGTGCATGTGTGACGGACGGCATCCCACTGAACTGTGAGCCGAAACAAACACATCCTTCCTTAAACTGCTTCTTGTCCAGGATTTTAAAATTATTTTTAATCCTGTGTATGTATGTGTGGTTATACACACCTGAGGCCTTTAACTATGTGTCAGTATGTATACCTGAGGCCTTTAATTACGCATATGTATGTTATATGTATGCATATGCATGTGTGTATAATTTAATTATGTATATGTATATATAGGTATGCACACCTGAGGCCTTTAACTATGTGTCAGTATGTGTGGGTATGTGTACCTGAAGGCTATAGTTATGCATATGCATGTGTATATGTATGCATATGTATGTGTATATAATTTAATTGTATATGTGTATGTGTGGGTATGTACACCTGAGGCCTTTACTATGTGTCTGTATGTGTGGCTATACACACCTGAAGCCTTTAACTATGTGTTTATGTGTACCCACACCTGAGTCCTTTAGTTATGTATATGTATATATGTATATATATATGTATATAATTTAATTATGTATGTGTATGTGTGGGTATGCACACCTGAGGCCTTTAACTACATGTCTGTATATGTGGGTACCCACACCTGAGGCCTGAAGTGACTGATACCTCTTGAGCTGGTGTCCCAGGCAGTTGAGGTGTCAGATGTGGGTGCTGGGAACTGAACTCATCCTTCAGAAGAGCAGCTGGTGCTCTTAAGGGCTAAACCAACTCTCCAGGCCTCTTGCTGGGTGTTCTCATAATACCAACAAGAGAACGAACATGGATTCCAAACTGTTCAATCCTTTGCTTCTTTCTTGCTTCTTGGACCCTCCTGACCTGAGCCAGAGCCCTCCCCCAAAGCGCCTGAGCCGGAGCCCCCTCCCCCAAAGCGCCTGAGCCGGAGCCCCCTCCCCCAAACCGCCTGAGCCAGAGCCCCCTCCCCCAAAGCCTCTGCCCATTTTCTGCACAGCAGCCAGTGCCCTGCCAGGTTCCGACTCAGTCTTCTGCGCTGCTTTGAAGCTCTGTCTGTTGTCCCTGTGACAAAACACCTGGCAGAGGAGAGAGGGAAAGACTGACTCGGCTCATAGTCTGAACGGGGACACCCCATCATGCTGCTAACGACGTGGGAATGTGCAGGGCTGTGGTCCAGGAAAGCTAAGTGGGCAGCGCTGTGAACTGTCCGCCTGCCTTGACCTGCCTCCTCCAGCTAGGCATCACCTCCAAAATGTCGCAGAGTCCCCAGACAGCTTGGGACCAAGTTGAAGCCTATGTGTCTGTGGGAGACACTTCACACCCAGACTCTTACCTAGCATCCGCATGCAGCTTCACAGAACAAGGGTTTCAGTGGCTTCAGACTCCTGCCCTCACTGCCTGTCTCAGAATCAGCTGCTCATTGTATTTCCCCTTTGTAGGAGGCTTTTCCACATGTTTCTCTGAGCACCTGAAATATATGCCTCACCTCGGTTTACCTACCTGACCTGTGACCATGCTCCGGGTCTCAGTTCCCATGCCCAGGAGGCACGATGCATGTCCCACATTGTCACTCTCCCAGAACTGTGAACGTGACCTCAGCTAGTTTCTACACATTCACCAAGGTGCTTGGTGACCATCGCCTTTCCTTCAGCCTTCATGTTCTGCAGTCCGCGGGGTCCGTAGTGATGTTTGCTCATTTTTCTACGTCCAGCGCTAGCAAAGAATCCAGTGTATAACTCCACTCATTTAGTCAGTCCACAAACCAACAGTTCGTGAAGGGAAGAGGTCAGCCGAGGTCGAGAGCTTTGCCTGGACCATTTGGGTGCTGCCTTCGCTGTGGAGTTTTGTAACCTCAGTCCGCTGCTAGAAAATGGGGCTTGCAGAGAAATTCTAAACTAAAGGGGCTCCTCCTCCAAGCAGGGACATGAAGGTGTGACACACCTTCCATACACCTGTTAAAGAATGGTTCTGACCATCTCAGCCCAAGATGAAAGCTTCCCCTTGGAGAGGGGAGTAGGGAAGACTTGAGAGCTGCTGCTATGTGTGTGTGATGGGGAGAGACAGTGGGGGAGATCACGGAAGAATGAGGTAACTCTTTTACATGGGAGATGAAGGAGGAAGCAGAGTCTCACTATGTAGCCCTAGTTGGCCTGAGCTCACTCTGGAGACCAGGTTGGTCTCAAACACATAGAGATCCACCTGCCTGTGTCTCCTGAGTGCTGGGGTTAAAGGCGTTCAATCCTTCAATCATGTGGCTTAGTGAAAAATGCTTCACCGTGTGTTATTGTGACCATTTAGGACAGCAGCCATCAACGGGGGTGACTTTGAGTAACGGAGGATAGCTGGCACTGAGGATGTGTTTTGGTGGTCATGGTCTGGTGGAGGATGTTACCAGTACCTCAGAAGCGGAAGTCAGGTGTTGTTGGTCAGCTGCTGTTGGCCAATGTGTGAACTGCTTCCTCGAGAGGCTTGCATGGTCCAGAAAGTCACTGACACCCAACATGTGGAGGCAACTCACTCTTGGGGAGCTGTGGAGCCTCTGGGGGAGAGGGGTCCCCAGCAGGTGTTTCCGGCTGGTGTCCTGATCTTCATAGTTAGCAGGCTTTCTGACAGGTAGGAGACACACTGGAGAATGGTGGGGAGCAGGGGAGTGTTCTGAAAATACTAACACAGCTGTGGGTGCTGCACATCTTTGATTTCGAGAGCTTGCCAGACACAGGTTAAAGAAAAAAGAGGGGAGCCTGAGCGAATTCGACTCCCGCTGCAATTTCCCTTTAAGCACAGTCTTGTAAATACCGGTGATAGACTCCAACAGAACTTACTGGAAATTTCCCCAAAAAAAGTCTCGGAAAATAGACATGTGCAAGTGGTGGTAAGAAATTTACTGAAATGAACTGTCTGTGAACGAAGAATATGTGAGCAAAATAGATGTTTTATCTGTCATTTTATTCGTAGAGAGATCCATTAAGCTTCTCCATTTCATGCCGCTCCTGTTTGGGGAAAGCATTTTAAGCTAAATCTTCATTTTCCTTTGGAAAAAAATCAGTATGGAAAATAGGCAACTTGACACCCTCCTATACTCTCTTAGGAAGATTTTTTTTTTATAAATCTCAGAAGTGACTTCTCAAAAACTCCCAAGTGTGTGTTGCAGGGGGAGATGGAATTTTAGTTAGAGAAGGATGTAGGGGCAGTTTTGGCCTATCCAGTCAAGAGGAGTTGGTCACTGCACATGTGGATTCACAGAAGGCCAGGGAGTCCTGCAAAGGACCAGCATGCATTGATATCCACCATCATTTTATTGGGTGGCTTTGATCTGCCACACGATGTACCCAAGGTACAGGAGGTGACAAATTTTGGAAGTAGGAACATTTACGCATAGTTAAATTATAGCACTATTAATTAAATTTTCTGTCTCCATGTATCAAATTACTTCTTTTGGCAAAAATGCATGTGTTTAAGACACAGTCACATGTTGACTTTACAGAGGAATACACTTAAAAGCTCTTGAATGGTGTCTCTGGGGTTATACACAGGCATTCAGGGGTCGGGGGAACCTTATGGAGTGAACAATGAAATAAGGGAAACCTTACTCACTGTGTCATTAATGTGGGTTCTCTTGGGACCTGCCTTTCCTTTCCAGCTAGTGAATAAGTGACTCTGAGCTACTCTGGCCATCTGTGAGTGGCTGCTGTTCCCTTCCCTTGAGGAAGACTGTCTTCTAAGCACTGGGAGGTCCTGGAGCTCACTTGTCCCAGCTTGTGAGAATGAATTGCGTGTTTCCATCCTGGTTCTAAACCCGGTGATGTCAGTGGCCTAAAACTGTGTGTGTGTGTGTGTGTTTGCATGTGTGTGTGTGTGTGTGTGTGTGTGTGTGTGTGTGTGTGTGTATGCATGCACGCATGCCTGTGCAGGGGGTTGGGGATATTTACACCATAGAAAGAGGAGGCTATACACCACAGCCTCTCCTCTCTGCTTCCCTTTCTAAAGCAAAGCATCTTGCACTGTGGGTTGTGACCCCTGAGGTGTCAAACTGGATGTGGGAGGGGTGGGTATCAGAAAAAAATGGGGAGCAGTAAAAGGTTTCTGAGTGCACAATGACCAAAAGTTATTTGAAAATCAAATGTACAACACATCTGTGTGTTTCTGGCTCTGCTCACTGTGTCACAGCATGTGACTTTACTGGTGCTGCGGTCCTGAACATACAAGTGTGCACTGTCACAAACATTGCCTGAGATACCACTGCTCATACTTGACAATATTTATGTCTTCAGATGAAGTGGTTTTGTTGTTATTTTCCCGTAGACACAAAGTTTTCTGCTCTTATAGAAGCGATGAAGACTTTCAGTATCCTCCTGCTGTCCTTCCCCAGTATGTGTCAGGCTAGTATATGTCCTGGTTGCATCCTCTTAGACAGTACAAGCACATTCATCTCCTTAGTATGCAGCTATTTTCCTCTTTATTATGCAGAAAATTATATGCATACCAAAGAATAGTTTGAAAATAAACTTATGATTTACTTTCAGTAAATGTTTGATGTGAAAAGCTATTTTATATGTATATGTAATATATGTATGTATATATGCAAAAAACTGTTCTCCGTGAGATAGGGTCTCAGGTAGAAAAGGTTCTAGAAGGCAGTAGTACCTAACTGTATTTCTGTATTTCTGATACTCTCATGGCTGGAAAGAGAAAAAACATTGTAAACAAGCAGCGAGTGCTAAGCACTGTGAACAAGAATAGAGCAGGGCATGTGACCAGTGACTGATGTGAATCCGATGTCTTCAGGAGGTGGCCGCCTCAGAGTCAAGGAGAACAGATGTCTGAAAAACTTCAAGGCTACTCAAGTGGGTCAGACATCCTTGTCTTAAAAAGCTGTGTTGCACAACGCCCCGAGAGTCAGCTTTCTCTCGACAAAAGTCTAGATATTTAAGGACTGCTGAGTTTGTGATGTTGTCTTTCCCCTAAATTTCTCAGGCAAAATGTGTGGGGAATAGCTCATCGGAGGAAGCTTGACTTTGGTTTTAGTCAGACCTGAGTTTAGCCTCTACCTCTGCTGTTTCCACTTGAGGGTCATCATGTCTCCTTACACATTTAATCGGAACAAAGCTCGGCACTAACAGAGTGATAATAGTGGCGCTTATTTCCACGGTTTTTGAGATCAAATGAGCTATCACATGCAAAGTGCCCAGTCAGAGTCCGTGCCCTATAGAGTGTTGCGATTTTCTTGTGTTGTCAGTCATTTATTTGAGCATCGTGGGAAAAACAAGAGTGCTCCCTCAAAACTTCTTCCACCATCCCAGGTCACGCCATGTGTCAGGGTATGAGATCAGTACCACACCTGGATGTGCCTAACATATGTCCCTTTGACTTGAGCCTCAACAGTGTTCCATGTCTTCTTGTTCCCTTGGACGGCGTGGTAGTTGCCTGTCTGTTGCTATGATACATACCAATATGAAGACAACTTACAGAACAAAGTGTTTATTGTGGCTTATGATTCCAGAGGGATAGAATCCATTTTTGGCAGGGAAGGCATAGTGTGGCAGTGGGCACAGAAAGATGAGTTATCATTTCATCCACGCCAAGGAAGCAGGGAGAAGGGGCTTGGGGTTGGAGCATAGGAAGTGGGACCAGACATACTTCCCCCAATAGAGCTGCACCTCATAAAGGATCCATAGCTTCACCAAACAGCGCCACCAACCAAGGACCAATTGTCCAAACGCATGAGCCTGTGAGGGACATGTCACATTTGAACCAGCGCAGATGACAAGGAAAAGCCCTGAGTCACCTGGCAGTTTGGCTCACAGAGTTAACCATGAGCAATGGAATCACCTGATTTAGTGTGGCCACGAAATGAACTCATGAATAAAGCCACTGAACTTGGAGATGGTCATTTATTTAGACACTCTGGGAGGGTTAAACCTGAGGCAATTAGGTCATCTCCAGCCCTCACTTCATTCACCTGGGCTTCCTCTGAGGTTGTGACTGATTACTGTTTTGATGTATTAATTTAAACATGTGTTACTGTTTTACTGCGTTCTCTGGTTTACCTTGTTATTCTCATACAAGCTAGCAAGAAGTGCCAACTCCCAGAGGACAGTCATTACAGCAGACACAGTGTGAGTAAGCTCTTGTGAGCTTCAAAATTCTGAACCCTACGTATCTAAAACTCGAAATAAGACTAGGCCGCATAAATAACTGGTGTATCCTCATGACTAGTTCATTGGGAATCATGGGTGAAGTCCATCACCTCATCGTCTGACTTATTTCAGGTTGTCTAACTCTGCAATGGGAGAAAGAGGGGTTGAAAGAGCTACAGATTGCTTGGGAACCCCGGGAAGAGGGTTGTGATCATTTGAGTGACTCGGGTACTCTCAGAGTTAGATTTATCTTTTATCACTAGAGTGAAGTGATGTGGCAGATTCTCCAGGTGCTAAATGATGGTGGTACAGGCAACTTCTGGTTAGTCTAACTTTGTGTGATGATGCAGTTTGGTTTTTTGTTCGTTTTGTGTGAGAGATGAGATCTCATGGATTGTGGGCTCGCCCAGAACTCATTACTAATGACTGTGAACATCTGATCATCTTGTTTCTGCCTCTGCAGTGTTGGAGTTATACGCATGCGCCTCCACACCTATTTATGTGGTGCCGGGGATCATACCTAGGGCATCATGGATGTCAGGTAATCACTCTACCAACTAAGCTAATCCCCAACTGAAGAGGCTGAAGTCTTCTTTATTTTCTATTTTACATCACATTAAAATCTCATCTTCTGACCCCATGTGGTTGTTGGCTGCCGTCACGGGCTGCATGTGTCTAGACTAAAATTCTCTTTCTCATTTTCATTCTCCGTGCCTCAAGACTTAGATACACAGGTAGGAATGGGCAGAAGGAACAAAAGGCTGAGGTTGTTTCTTCCTACCAGCTACACAGTGCTACCAAAATCAATTTGCTATCAGAAACATAACATTTCCTTCACACTTGGTTTGGGAATCAACCAGGTGAATCATTCATTTCACCTTCAGACTTAACCCTACCTCTAGAAGCTAGGGAGGCTCTGAGCAGATGAAAACCACTGGCCATCTTGTTCTGCCTCACGTTCAGTTTGGCAGGTTTCTCTCAGTATACCGCCAGGGATTATTTGCAAGGCTGGGAGAAGAACAGGTTTTACCTAGAGAGGTTATGTCCTGACCCTGGATTGGGTGTAGCATCTTCTCACACCCACCCCTCGGTGTCTGGTAGAACTCCTACTCCTTGATTGAATGGCTGTCCTCCTCTGGCTGCACTTTTTCTGCCCCACACTGACTCTCTTCCTTAGGCAGGGTTGAGATGCAAGTGACTGTCCACCATGAATAACTCTTACGAGAGAGAGAGAGAGAGAGAGAGAGAGAGAGAGAGAGAGAGAGAGAGAGAGAGAGAGAGAAGTGAGCATGCTTAGGTGTCTATTTCCAACCCTCCCCATTTTGAGTAAAATGGTTCATGCAATAGAAAGAAAATGTCATGCCTCTGGTTGGCATCACTCTGTGTAATAAGAGAAATGTTATAAGAAATAATATCCTGTACAAAATAAGAAGAATTAACCTGCATTTCCACAGGCAGGATAATGGTGTTCTTTCTTCTGGCCTGGAACTCTCTGTGACCCGGAACTTGGCATGCTCCTCCTCTTCACTTTGTGCTATGCCCAGAGGCTGCCCTTCTGCTCTAGACAGTGCTCTACTGCTATGAAGAGACACCATGACCATGGAAACTCTTATAAAAGAAAGCACCTGGTTGGGTCTTGTAGTTTCAGAGGGTTAGTCCATTATCGTTGTGGCGGAAATTGTGGTGGTATGGAAAGGTAGCAGAAAGTTCTACATCTGGATCCATGGGCAGCAGGAAAAGACAGGCATTGGGCCTGGCTTGAGCACGTGAAACCTCAAAGGCTGCCTCCAGTGACACACTTCCTCCAACAAAGCCACACCTACTCTAATGAGGCCACAACTCCCTGGTGACCAAGCTTTCAAATCTACGGGTCTAGGGGGGCCAGTCTCGTTCAAACTACCACAGACTCTTACAGCGAGTCCCTTCCAAACAAAGAAACATGGAGACAGCAACTCCCCCTTTCGTAGGACTCACCGTTCTTGACTGTTTTTGTGGAGGGTAGCAGAAATTAATTCTTTATCTATCAAACAAATTAGACCCTTCTGTCTTTTGCCATCCGTGTGCTGTAAAAAAGCTCCTGGAATGACTAAGTGCGTACAGAAACCAGATCTCCCTCCATTAGGTAAGTGAACTGTTTCACCTCCTGATGGATTGGGCACATTTGCCATGACAGGTTCTGATTTGGGTACACACTCCCCCTCCCCCTCCCCATTCCCCTCCTCTTCCCCCAACACAGACATATGTTGTCCACAGAAATGATGATGCAAACACTAAACAAAGAATATGTTTAACCTAGAATCAGTCACTGCCTTAGAATAAACGGTGAGGAGGAAGGCTTTGAGTCCTTTAGTGTCTCCTGTTGTCATAATTCGAGGTTCTGCTGCTGTGACAAATCGGTGCATAAACCAACTTGCGGGGAGCAAAGGAACTGTTTGGAGTACATCTCCATATCACAGCCATCACTAAAGGGATGCAAGGCAGAATCATGGAGGCAGGAATTGAAGCAGAAGCCATGGAGGGGTGCAGCTCACTGCCTTGCTGCCCATGACTTGCTCATCCTGTTTTCATATACAACCCAGGACTACCAGCCCAAGGAAGGCAATACCCACAGTGAGATGGTTTCTCCCTAACCATTACTTGACAGCGTGCCTCAAAGGCGTGCTAACAAGCCTATCTGAGGGAGACAACTCTCCCATCGAGTCTTCCCAGGTGACTCTAGCTTTGTCATGGTGACAAAACCTGACCAGCAGACCTCTGCCAACCATAGCCTTCCAACTTTTCTACTGGGGATGAAAATGTATCAGGCCCATTGTGCAGTCTACAGACTTATCATTTATCTCCAGTCAGATGAGGGATAAGGAGAAAGAGAGAGGGGGAGAAAGGGAGATCATATCAACTTTTTACATTTATAAACAAGGAAACTTATGTGTAGATGTGGGCATATTGGTAGTGTTAATATTCTCTGCCACAACCTTAGGACTGGTTCTGGTGTGGTGGAATGTCTCAGAGAGAACACACACACACACACACACACACATGCACACGCGCGTGCATGGGCACACACCAAACCAAACCAAACCAAACCATTGCTGCTCAAATTACAAATTCCTGAGGCCTGAGGTGGATGTTTGTTATTCTTTGTGGTCTTGAGTAGCACACAGTCAGGTCATTAAACATGATCCATTGATTATGACTGGAACATGTCTGCAGTCCATTGGCTGTGATGTCATTGTGGTTCTCTGGACGGCTTCTCAAGACAGGTTAAGTGGTCCTATCTCCAAAACTAGGAAACTGAGGAGACAACAGCCCTTACTCTACATTGTCAAACTTGCTTGTGATAAACTCAAGGTTGATCCGAGCCCTGAGTGCTGTGATCCAGACATTCCCACTGTGCTCCCGTAGCTCAGTGAGAGCTCTGTGCAAGAGCTTCATACACATATGTCTGAGACTTTGTGCTCCATGATGCCTACACAAGCATTTGGTTGTACAAAGGAAATAAGGACTAGAAGAAAAGCAACAAACCCTGCCCATCTTCACATGGAAGAGTGTCTTTGTTGGTACCTACTTTTAACAATATGAATTTTTTATTCATCCAGGCCTGGTGGTGCCCTCTTTGTATGCTACTGGCCTCCAAAAATGACTATCCAAACCACACAAGTGCTTCTGTAAGTGGAGTCCATGGCTCAGCTATTCCTAAGATTCCTTTAATATTTTGATCACTATTTCAGTGTGCTAAATGCTCTGAATGAAAGTAGTTAATCAGGCAAATAAATTAGGGACTAAAATGAGTTCAGAATCAGCAGCTCGGACACCTGTGAAACCAGCACACTCCATCAATCTAGGTGGTAATTAGATGCTAATAGGTTGTGACTATACAGTGTGTATGCAGAGTGTGCCTGGTTATTCACTCCTCCTAATGTAAATAGCTACACTGGGGCTGGGGGTTGCTGATTACAAAACCAATACATGCTTACCGTTTTAAAAACATACAGACATCTAACACTTTGACCCATAAATTCCCTTCACTCCCCTGTCTGAAAAAAATGAACATAAGGAACTCATAGACCCCATCCTTGGCTTTTTATTAATGTGTATTGTCAGGACACAGAGTGGTATTTAATAAATCTGTTCTTTCCATTGAAACTATATCTTTAATATTGTAAATATGCCCCTTGTGTAATGATATATAATTTATACATATGCAAATATATGTACAACCATATGTGTGTGCACACACGTAAATATCTATATAAACAAACACAGAGATACTCACAAACTTCAACTGATACTCAATCTTTTGTCTTCAATTTTTCTGTGACAAACTTAGCCAAGATACCCATCTTTACATAAGATACGTCATTATATAATTGCTTGATTACTCCCTTAGGAAAAGCTTCTGGGAACAGAATTACAAGGCTGCATTTTATTAATTTATATGTTTAATATTGAAAGGCTTAGCACATAAGAATAGTTTCCGCACAAGAGACAATATACAGAAAATGCATAGTGCCCCTCATATAGGAAGTCCTCACAAAGGTGTCACTGGAAACCCAAAGGTGTGGTTGTCCGAATGTGCAGGGCCCCTTGTTCTCCTCATTGCAATGAACTTGAGGAGGGCTCCCTCAGATAGAAAGGTTCACTGGAAGCATGAGTTAAGCTGCATCACCTCGATCTCAGCCACACTCCTGTCCAGAGGCTGTCACTATCCCCGGGCACCCCAGTCTTATCCCCAAAGGAGGACCCATCAGGCACCATGTATATTGTCTTCAGTGCCAGGGGACCATCGAGGGACACATTCTCCCAGTGAGAGGCGCCAACACTCATCTCTGTGTGGGGTGTGAACCAGAAGCTTAGAATAGACTTGCCTTGATTCCTCCAGTAAACACTCCAATGTGGCACTTAGGGAACAAAGGCATCGCCTATGCCACCTGGTGCTAGACTCACAGTGCCTTCTACCCAACCTCTTCAAAGCCAGAGACACCACTCTTGCCTTGTGTAGAAGAGAGGGTTTTTCCCTTTCCCCCTCATTCCCTTGCTTCATTCCGCCTCTTTGCTCTCAGTGACCACAGGACACCTGTAGCTCAGGCTACATCTGGCCTCCATCCCAGCCCAGTGTACAGTTCTGTGTCCTGGTAGCCTGGGGCCAATGGAGACCAACTATTTGAAAGACTCCTCGATCCCAGCCCAGTGTACAGTTCTGTCTGCTGGTAAACTAGGGCTGATGGAGACTGGCTATCTGAAAGATTCCTCCAGCTCTGGACTCAAGAGTAGAGAGCTGCTGACCAGTTTGTTTTCCCAGACAGAGGGTGCTTTCTCTCCAGGTCTTACAGAAGGTACAGCATGCTCTGATCCACAGAGAGTGGTATTTAGAAAAGTACATATAGTAATGCCCTAAAGCGATGGGAGCACATGTTGTCTGCAGACAAAGGAGCCCTAACACAAGGTGCTTTCCAACATCCCAGCTCCCCAGAGTAATTCCAGACATGGCTTATCCTCAACCATTCATGGAGGTGAACTAGGAATGTCAGTGGTAGACGTGGGATGGAATTTCAGATGAATGTCAGGATCCTGGTGGCTGGAGTAACTGGAGTCGTTCTCTGTCTGTCCCTGTTTCCTAATCTGAACCACTCCAAATGTACTGAATATTTGAGCCTCAGTTCCCTTTTTGTAAAAATCTTTTTGGCTACTGTTGTGCAGAGGGACTTATAGGAGAGTGTTAGGACGCAAGTAGCTGGTAGGCTGCTTATAAAGTGACTGGAGACTGGTCACTATTATTATAACTCTTCCATGATTGGTTTAAAAGTAAAACTATGTCCATGACTCTTTGGTCCATTTTGTGTATGCATGTTCACAAGTGCATGTATGTGGGTGTGTGTACACATCCATATGGCTATATGTAGGTGCATATAATTGTGCCTGTGTGGGAGAGCATGTTGTGATGTGTCCATTCATATAACTGCATGGATATGGATGTATATATGTATCAATGTTCATATGATTGCATATATGTGGGTATGATTGTATCAGTGTATAAGTATATATGGAAAAGTGTATGTTCATATGGTTGCATGCTGTTGATGTGGGCGCATGTATGTGATTGTTGTATATATTCATATGGCTATATATATGTGAGCATACATGTGTGTTTGGTTATGTATTTTATATGTTCATATGACTGCTTGTATATGGGCATGTATGTATGTGAGGTTGTACGTGTTCATGTTAATATGACTTCATATTATGTGGGTATGATTGTACCAGTGTGTAGACATATGTGCGAATGGTGTATGTTCACATGGTTGCATGTTGTGGATATGGGTGCACATATGTGTTTGTTGTATATGTGCATACGGCTATATACATGTGGGTCTAAATGTGTGTTAGGTTGTGTGTTTTATGTGTTCATATGGCTGCTTGCACATGGGTGTGTATGTGTGTGAGGTTGTGTGTGTACATGTTCATATGGCTGCATACACAGGGTAGCTTATTGGATGAGAGCTTCCCAATTACTCTAGATTGGCTGGTTGTCAAGCCTCGGGGACCCGACTGGCTCCACTTGGCCATTGCTGGGATCACAAGCCCCCCACTAGGGTTGGCTGTTATCTTTAAACCTTAGTTCTAGGAATCTGGAGACCAGGGCTTTACTGACTAGGCCATCGCCCCAGCCCCTAGTCTTGAGAGCCATCCATCCATCAACATCCAGACTGCAATGCTGCGAGGACACAGTGGGCGGCACAAGGTGAGAACAGGTGGGGCTGGAGGGCAGGGAGCGAGCGCCATGTTGGGGAAGACCCTTCCTGTCCATCCTGAGCACAGCGCTGCCTTTACCCTGGTTGCTCTGAGGGAGTCATTGTGAGCTATGCCCTGGCCTTTCAGGAGCATGGAGAGATCCAAAGAGAGGAACGCCTGGCCCAGGTCCCTCCACAACCATGGTTGCCACGGAAGTCCTACTGCGTTGGCTTTTGGCTCCTGTAAGTGTCAGTCTGTTTGTGCTTTCTGACTCTTGTTGGGTGACGACCTCAAAGCAGAGCTGAGCTGTGCACCTCAGTCCACACTTGCTCTGGACTCTTCCTGGATGTCTCTGGGATGTGCAGTCCTGAGTCATGTTCTCTGTTGCCTGGTTGGGAAGAACAGCTTATCCGAAGCAGAGGAGTGAGTCTTTCTCACCGACTCCGGTTTGCTCCCCGGCTCCAGCCCCAGGAGAGCTCACCTAGTCCCCTCCCATCAATCTAGCTGAATTACAAGTTTAAACCAAACTGACATTCTAGAAGCAATAATTGGCTTAATATTCTCAAGGAGCAGAAGATGGTAATTTCCTTGGGGACCACAAAAGCATAACCCAGTTCTGAGGTTCCTGAAAAGGATGGCTGGGATGGGCTTGAAGTCTGTGTGCAAACAGAGTCATTACTGTCCCCATGGTGGCCACCCCCGCCCCATGGAAGTATAACTTCCCACTGTTATTTTAGCTGACGTCCCCTTTGTAACTTTAAGCAGTGTTCTTTAAACATTTCTAAACTTTTGCAATTCCTCCCCGAAACCATGCTATGAATTTGCTTGTCACTGTAAGCCGTACACAAAGAGAGACACATACAGCAAGCACAAAGCTATCAGGAAGTGGTTTTCCTAGCAACAGTAATCATCTGAAAGATCCCAGAACATCCTCTCTATTCATACAGCATTTCGTGTTTTGAATAGTGCTGACAGGTGAAGTGGATTCATGGTATTTAATACAAAAAAAAATATTGCTGGGGATTGGCGCTGCACAAAGGCGCAAATATCCATACTATTCACAGGCAGCTGAATTCACTGTTTTCATATCTATCTAGATTATTTAGCGAGGGACAATTGCGAAAGCAAATACTCA